ACCTTACAATGTAGCAAAAGAATGGAACTTATTAGACAAACTTAACAAAGAACAAACTAGAACTGCAAGAGTTCCAGGAGGAATGAATGTAACAAATTATGGCAAAGTAAAAGTCAAACTCCAAATAGAAGATCTGATATTCTACATCAAAGTATCAGTAATAGAAGGAGAACAAGCCTATATACTTTTAGCTAAAGTAGACCAAGCTCGAATGGGAATAAAGAAAAATAGAGAAACTCAAATCATAACAATCAGAGACATACCAATATCATACCAAGACATAACAACAGACGTGCAAAAAGCGAACCTATCACACCAGTTTTACGACAGGAACTCGGATCGCACCTTGAATCTTATGATAAATAAGGAGAGATCTCATGGTCAGCACACAAATACTGATGAAATCACCCAACTTAATACCACAAATCAGCCGAAAATACATCTAATAAAGAGCAAATCACGTGTAGCTAGTTACCTTGCTCGAAAAACTAGTGACCCAGGCAAAAGCGAAAAAAACCTGCCGTTGGCGCCCAACGTGGATAATAAAAATATCTCCGTCTCTGTAACAAATAAGTCACTAACCCCTCATAAAGAGTTTGTCGCAACTCACAAGTTCGTTGCGCCCAACGTGGATAGCAAAAATCTATCCCCAAAAATCAAAACAAGTCGAACCTCTAACAACCAATTACACGTCAATAACAATACGATATTGGAGAAAAACAACACCTCAAAGAAGAAGAAAGCAAAACCGCCTTTAGAAAAAAAACCTAAACAAGAGTTTTCAAAAGAAAACATAAAACAAAATGAGTCAACTGAGAAATGGGTAAATAAACAATATAATCCAAAGAAATGTAAGAGATTTGTAACACATCTCTTACCAGAGTCATTCCCTAGACAAGTCAAAAAACTTAGAGAACTTGTTAAAGAAAATGAAAATAGAGTCAAACTAATTGGAGTAACAACCGATGCTCGATGGGATGGGATAGTAAAAACTACTATCATAACCCAATCTAATATAGTACAAATATTCTTAAAATATTTGGATTCAGTAAAAGAAG